AATATCTTCTGTGCTGTTATCACTTTATTGAATATCTGCCCTCCTCAAATGTAATGGCGGCAATGGTGTGGCCACTGGTCGAATAACTTATATAACAATAAAAATACGTCTTTGTCATTGCAAGCTAATAACACTCATCAACTAAAGTACGCAAAAAATCTTCGCTACGTATCGCAATGACAAGGACTCACACAAATATGGTAAAGAAAACTTTGACATAGCCGATTTCGATGAATCACTCACGACTTCCAAAAAAGATGAATCTGCTAGTTTAGCACTGGAAGAGACGATAGAAAATGAACTGCTAAAGATCGATGGCACGGATCTATATGTCATTGGACAAACGGAAGAAAGTCAGCGCTTCGAGCTGCTTACTGAGAAGCTCAAAACGCAGCGAACAGTGGAACCGCGGAGACTCGATGTCATCGATTTCAAAAGTTGGTTTACATTTTAAAGCCTTATTTCCTCATTCGATGTACAGATCTTCTTTTTATCCTTCTCTTTTGCGTGTGATAAGAGTTTTTTGCAGGTATCTTGTGCTACATCTACACAAGCGGAACGACTGGACTCCCAAAAGCTGCTGTGATGAAACATTTTAGGTAGAGCTCAAAATTCCAAAGCAAAATTTAAAGAGTCAAAAACTACTTCTAGGTACTACTCGATGGTTATGGGAGCAGCAAAATCGTTTGGCATCTATCCTTCGGATAGAATTTACGTGTCAATGCCCATCTACCATACAGCAGCCGGGATCTTAGGTAAGGAGCCCACTTTCGAAAATTCGCAAAATTTTGTTGTCTAGGTTTTCTCAGTTTTCGCGTAAAATGAAGATTATTCTCATGTGATTATCTAAAATACGTGAATGACAAAGGCGGTTGATCTAAATTCATTTTGTTTTACGCAGCCCTTGATCCTAAAGAAATGAAATGTTCCTCGTTAAAGTTAGCCAATTTTTTGTATCTTGTACTTCTTCTCCCTTTTTTATCAAAAAAGTCACCAGATTTGTAACAAATTTCCTTCTTCACCTCCTCGTTCACGAATTCCTTGACAATTCTGATGTAATTTTAGGGTAATACCAAATTCATTGCAGCATCAATTCTTAGAATTCCAGGAATTGGGCAAGCACTATGTCGAGGATCCTGCTGCGTAATCAGGAAGAAATTCTCAGCTAGCAATTTCTGGAAGGACTGCGTAAAATACAATTGCACAGTAGGTGACTTTGATTATTATCCGTTGATCCCACATTAACTGACTTAGTATTTATGAGAGATTATTTTTTATTTTCAAGTAATTTCAGCTACCTCCCCGATTATTACTCAATTATTGAAGTTCATGATTTCGATTGATACATTAGCAGCTGGAAATTGATTGCCATAAAGTTACAAAACTATATTCATTCGGAGCGATTCTAGGCTTCCCAGTACATTGGAGAGATCTGTCGCTATCTCCTTGCACAACCAGTGGTTCCCGAAGAATCTATGCACAACATGAGATTACTGTATGGGAACGGACTTCGAGCAGAGATATGGCAACCATTCGTGGACCGATTCCGAGTAAGAATTGGGGAAGTTTATGGATCAACCGAAGGAA